GAAGCTGAAATTGTCTCATTACTAAGAGCCCGTTTGGCTTAGCTGATTTAGAGTAGCTGATAAGCATTAGGTGTTGATAAGCATTAGGTGCTGAAAAGCACTTTTAAGTGTTGAAATTGATTTAAAAAATAAGCAGTTACGTGTTTGGATAAAAGTGCTGAAATTAATAATAAGCAGCAAGAATTGGGTATACGAAGAGTTCTGTTTTAAAAAGAAGTATTTAAGGGATAGAATAGTAAATATTTTGGTCAAACCTAAAGTGCTTATAAGCTGAAATTTGATAAGTTAGGGGAGACCAACTTATGGCTTTTGGCTTATTTTTGGCTTATAAGCACTTTTAATTTTACCAAACGTGTAAATAAGTCAAAAAGTGCTTATAAGCCAGTTTGACTAGCTTATAAGTTTAGCCAAACACCTTTTAAATCATATGCAGGTTTATAGTAGGAATGCATGATTTTTTCTCATTCTAGCCCTTCACGAGCTAACTTCTTGATTTTTGGTTTACCTTAGTTGATTCTAACTTCAACATCAACCCAGGGAATTTAGATGAAAAAGTATATAATTTTTGTATATATATATACAAAAAATATATATTTTTCGGCTATTGTTTTGAGAGCGACTATAATTCTTAAAGTCATGTGATCAAAATTATAAGATTCAATTCATGAAGATACAATTCTGATTAGTCTCTTGCTAACCATGTAATTTATGTCCTTCAGTAAGTAGACAAGTTTGCAATACTGGACTAGTTGTCAATGTTTAGTTGTATTTGCAAATATGGACTTGTAGTTGCTTATACTTGAAAATGCACAAAACAATTAATAGCATCAATATATTTTTGTCTTGGAGGGGAGCCTTGGTATAACTGGTAAAGTTGCTGTCACGTGATCAGGAGGTTACGGTTTCAAGCTGTGAAAACTACCTCTTGCAGAAATGCAAGGTAAAGCTACGTACAATAGATTCTTGTGGTCCGATCCTTTCCCGGATCTCGCGCATAACGAGAGTTTAATGCACGTCCCTTTTAATATTTTTTTTTTGTCTCGAATAATAAATACACTCACAACTACCGCTATTGCGACCAAAGTCACATTAAATCTAGTATGTAACAAACTCACAACATAGACTAAATATAGTTAAAAACTACACGTCGAGGGAAAAAAAGAAGAAGACATATTAGCACAGTTTTTCCACGTAGAATTCCACTTTGTCCCTTTTCTTCGGCTTCTTGGACTACGCTTTTATTATTCTTATTTATGGGGTATTTTTATTGTGATCTACCCGTCAAATAGAAGTTAAAAAATTATAATATCAAACCTATAGGTCAACATTTTCTAACAAGTCAATACCAAAGTTCAAACTAAAAAAATGGGTGGATAAAATAACCTAGAAGGGTAGTTGAAAAGTTAAAGATAAACCAATCTACTAGTATATAGTAATACAATTATCTACAAACTATTTGGAGAGTCTTTAAAATTTCTTGGCACAAGATAATTTTTGAGAAAGTTAAAAGAAAATATGACTTCACCACCATTTTCTAATGGAGTAACAGGCAAAGGTGGTCGGATTCTCATCGTCGGAGCAACCGGATTCATCGGACAATATATAGCAGAAGCAAGTCTTGATGCTAATCGAAGAACTTATATTCTTATTCGATCATTCCCAGATTGTCATTCTAAGATTAAATTGATCAAATCATTTGAGGATAAAGGGGCCATAATATTGCACGTAAAAGTGTTTATCTAACTTATTTGTTATTCTTTATTTTTTGACACAGGTTGTAATAATGAAATGTAGAGAAAATTCTATTTATTTTGTTTAATTGTTTTTTGTTATTAGGGTGATATAAATGACCAAGATTATATGGAGGACATGCTAAGGAAATATGAGATTGATATAATAATATCAGCTGTAGGTGGTGATAGTATACTTGATCAACTTTCCCTTGTTCAGGCAATGAAATCTGTTGGAACTATTAAGGTAAATCTTTACAGTATTTTCGTTTTAATTTTCTTTGAAAAGAAAAAAGCGAAAATTAGTGTCAAAGTTTCATGACATATTTATACATGTAACATAATCGTAGCTACATCAATTCACGTCTATCGTAAAAGTCAACCACACAAACTTATATATATATATATATATATATATATATATATATATATATATATATATATATATTTTTTGCCTTATGTATTTATCAGGCAAACTTAAATTTTTTTATTTTTTTTTGAAATTAGAGATTTTTGCCATCAGAGTTTGGACATGAAGTAGACAGATCAGATCCAGTGGAACCAGGGCTAAATATGTATAAGGAGAAAAGGAAAGTGAGAAGGTTGATAGAAGAGCTAAATATACCCTACACTTACATTTGTTGCAATTCAGTGGCTTCTTGGCCTTATTATGACAATAAACATCCTTCTGAAGTTCTTCCTCCTCTTGACCATTTCCAAATATATGGTGATGGCAATGTTAAAGGTACATTTATTCCCACCTCACTAAAAAATTTCAAGGGAAAATTAAAATTGTCTTTTTATGGTTCAACAATTTGTATGTTGATATTTTTTTGTGTTTTTCTGAAAATTTTATTTTTGGGAATTACCACGACTCCTCTCTTCTTGAGAATTCATATTTTTAGGATCAAGCGCTTACCATCATGCCAAAAGCTATAGCTCATAACAAGGGCACAACTTTATTTCTTAACCAAGCCCATCAAGCAAGAGCTATGTTAGACCATGACTTCGACCCGTGCCACCCCAGCGCCCTCGTGGGCCTTGCCATAAGCAGGATATTGGCGTTACCCAACAATCCCCCTCCCAACACCTGCGTCATGTAGCATGTTGCTCTTGGGAATCGAACCCATTACTTTGATTCTTATACAATTTTTAGGATCAAGCGCTTACCATCATGCCAAAAGCTATAGTTTATAGCAAGGGCGCAACTTTATTTCTTAACCAAGTACCTTATTCGACCATGGCTCCGACCCGGGCCATCCCAGCCCCCTCATAGGCCTTACCATAGGCAGAATGTTGGCGTTACCCAACACATACATCCTTTATCAGTGTATGAACATCTATTTTTCCTTTTTTTTTGGCACTTTATGTCGCTACATTAGTTCTTGAATCATGGCAAAAATTTTGTTGTAATGTACATCTTGTCAAACAACTTCTTGGGATGGTGTTTTTTTTTTTCCTCTTTTTCATTTTGACTATAATTTTGAACTCAATGAATAAAATGAAAGGAAAAGATATTCATATCGCCGATCCCAACTTGAGGCGTAGTAGCAGTTGTTGTTGTTATTGTTTCCTTTTTACTATAATTTCAGTTGAATGGAAATTTGTTATACCTTTTTTTTTTTTAGATATATCTCAGTTAATTGTTATTTTTTCTTCTTTTCAATTCACTCGTTTCTATCTTTAATTATATTTTGAAAAGTGCAGCTTATTTTGTGGCTGGTCCTGATATTGGAAAGTTCACTATCAAAGCAGCAGAAGACCATAGGACTGAGGACAAATGTGTACATTTTCGACCACAATGCAACTATTTTAACATGAACGAACTTGCTTCTCTTTGGGAAACTAAAATTGGTCGAACATTACCTAAAATCACAATTACTGAAGATGCCCTTTTGGCTGTAGCTGCAGGTTTATATATTTTCTCTCAACTCTTTAACAACCCTACCATACTCCCTCTGTTTCATTTTATATGACACTATTACTATATAATGATCACGAAATAGTTTTTTAGGGATGGAAAAAATATATGCAAAGAAATGAGCATAATTTGCATCTCGAGTATATGTTATACTTGTCAAGAAATAATAACACTCATTTGTTAAATTTATATGTTGTCATTTTGCAGAGAATATCAACCCCAAAAGTGTAGTTGCAGCTCTAACACATGAAATTTTCATAAGGGGATGTCAAATTGAATTTTCAATTGATGGCATAAAGGACCTTGAAGTTTGCAATTTGTACCCTAATGAGTCCTTTCGCACTATTGACGAGTGCTTCGATGATTTCTTTCTAAGAATGGATGAAATGTGCATCAAAATGCCTAATAACTAGACTAGTTTGCAATTTTTGCTATTTGAATCCAGCTATTTTGTCCTTTTATTCTAAACATATGTTGAAAGACATTTTTCCCTCTGTTCTTCATGAGTAAAACAGTTATTTTCCCTTTTTACTTATTTTAGGTAATATTTGCCCTTATTTTCGATGTAATATTTACCTTTTATTGCCTTATTTCTAATGCAATTCAATTAGTAGTTTAATGTTTTTATTCTGCCTTCACCATGCCTATAATGTAAAAACGATTTTCCTACTAACGATTTTTTTAAACTATGAATATGAATGCTTAAGCTTCCATTTTTCCGTAAAAATACACTACGTAGCCACTCTAAATATCTGCTTTTTAAATATTAATCAGTGCATCTTGAATTTCAGTTTAGATAGCCACTCTAAATAATTACTTTTTAGAAATTAGCCGGTGCATCTTGAATTTCAGTTTTTCAATTCAATTTCGGAAAAAAAATATCCTAAATTGCCCTGAAATTAGAATTTTTAGTTTAAAATTTCAAAACAAAATAAGTACCGGCTAATATCCAAATAACATCCCTAAGAATGGTTGTTTGTGCACCTACCCCCATTTTTCTTCCTGACCAAGTAAGCACTAAACTGAATTCTATAAGGATAGACATGTAATTTCACCTAAAAGAACGAGGCTAAGGAGTTGAAATAGAAAGGAGTCCAATCTAAACAAGCGTAGCAAAGAAAATAGTATGAAAAGTCTATATGTTTGTCCTTTTCCTTTCAATGTCACCCGAAGTATATATGGACAATAATTTTCAGTTTCATCTTCAAAAAATCACAGTTTCATTTCACAGTAACAACAACAACAACAACAAATCCAGTATAATCCCATAAATGGGGTCTGGGGAGGGTAATGCGTACGCAGACCTTACCCCTAACTTGTGAAGGTCATTTCCCGGTACAATAAGCAAAGATGTCGAACGCCATAATACATTTGATAGAGCAGAGAGATATGCACAATGTTGGTATAGCTATTATGTTACATAATCTATTACCAGAATACAGTAATCTTGTGGATGATATACACAGTTCACAAGATCAGACAAACCTGGTTCAAACGATTTTAAATATACAAAATTGGATGAAACAATATGTAGTTGTGGTGATATGACTCAATAAAACTGCATTCACCATCTAAATTTGTTTGTCTGATCGAAGGACAAGCTCGGGGAAACTAAGCTTCTTGCTGATAGAAGTAACTATACATCATTTACAGGCAAACGCTCTTCTATAAATACACGGCAAATGGGGCACCTCTTGCACTTGTCACAACAGGTGCTGAAAAGAATGATCAGTTATAACAATCAGATTAGAATTTCTTTTAGCAGAAAGCGTTATATGCATGAGAAAGAAATGAGATACTATTAATTTTCCTTCAATATGGTATCTGCTCTAAACAGTATTATATCAAATATCGTAAATCACAGAAAGAATGTAAATCGGACTACTGCAGAAAAGGAGTGGCATGAGGTTTAGGTAATACCTGCAGAGGATGTGATGCCGACAAGGAAGGAGAAGAATATTTATCTGTTCCTCGAAGCAAATTCTGCATAAGATTTTTTCCTGACAAAAGGATCCACCCGTAAATGGCTCAGCAGATGACAGTACTGATAGAAGAACAAGCATTAAATAGTTTTGGTTTTGTGCAGGATTCTTCAGAAAGTGTAAATTCCCACACTAAATTCCAGAAACATGATGAATTATTAAGGACGAGAAACAACATTTACATACAATAATTAAGGTAATGCAAGCTAATTTCTCCTTTTCAAACACCAAATATTTGTTAAAAAAGGCTAGATTTCTTCTAAAGCATCCCATGATATAATAAAAGAAATATAAAGTGGACAGTTTTCTTCCTCTTGCTGCTGAATTTGTCAAGAGAATATAATGTTCTATACAGTCAAACTTCTCTATAATAACATTTCACTACAATGGTCAAGTTTTCTTTAGAACCAATATTTCATGTTATGTTATAAATATGTTCTCTATAACAGCGTTCACTTTAGCAGCCTAAAATATCGGACAAACGCTGCAGTTATAGAGAGGCTTGACGGTATTAGCAATACATTGACATAATCTTACATTTTGAAGCCTTTCGAACTCATCCTGTTTTAACTTTGTAATCTCTGATTGCTCACAAAGTGCTGCTTGTAGTCTCCAGATCTGCAGATAACAATAGTCAATAATGGATTAGGGTACACTGGCAGCAGAGGAAGGATGAAACAGTTGGAAGAAAAAGCTAACCATCTCAATGAGCAATAAAGAAACCAAAAAAGAGGTAACAAGAAAAAGGAAGCAACCTCTTCAGCAAGCTTCGCTTTAGGCATTTGCTTTACAGTGTCAGGTGAGAAAGTATCATACCTGAAATAACAATCAGAAAATGCAGAGATGATAAATCAGTGGAAGTATTATTGGTTAATGAAGCACTGCATGTACAACTTCAAGCAAGAGCTACAAGTGTAGGATAGCGAAGATAAATTTGTCAACATCAATTAAGGGAACTTGATCTGGAATCACGATAAACCACCGAGGTTATAAAATAGGATAATGGTGCTGGCAATAACCTCAAGGCATATTAGAGCGGACCAAGTAAATAATAACTGTCATATATTATTTAGAAGATCTCCGGCGGCACTTACAAGATTACCATGGTCCTCAATAAGAAAATTCGGCAAAAAATTTATAAGCAATAAGTCATTTTAGAATCTTTTTACACTAATAGTCCTTCTCTTACAGTATTTATACTTACCCGTGCATTTTAATCCATTTTCAAGATAAATATCCTATTGCTTTTGTAATCTTAAGGTTCTTTTTCCATCAATAATTTTCCCTCATCAAGTTCTTGTTTGGTATGCGACTATCATCTCACAGGATAAACATTCATCAATGTGCTGTTCAGAACTGCAAAAGTTGCAAGTATTAACAGCAGCGGAACACTAACCCAGATGTCCCAGCATAATATAAACGAGCTTGTTCCTCTCGACTTCCTTCATCTATTGACCACCAACCTAAAAACCTGTACCAATAAGATCAACACAAAGAGACAAGCATGCGGAAATGAGTGGACCTATACAATGCTCGAAAGGATCAGAAGTTGCACAGTTTGACCTTGCTATCATTACCTTGACCCGTGATGCATGAAACCGAAAGTATCACGAATGAACGAAGATATCCTAAAATAGCTTCTGACACCAGCTTCACCATCTACCAAAAGAATAATTTTCTCCACAAGTCTATAGACAGAGAACAATACACCAGCTCCTTGCAGTAGGAAAAGAGGGATAAACAGTACGGGAATTGGGATAAATCTAGCACTTGGTGGGGTCCCCTGTAACCAAAATGTGTTAGTTGCAAATGTGATTAACTAATTGTAAAATTGAAAGCAAAACTTCTTAGAGCGTTCGTACCGCTAAGCGCATAAAAAGCAATATCTGGAAACTAACAATAGGAATTTTCATCACATGACCGCCAATGTCCTGTAAATTGCATATTCCATTCTGTTGATCATCGTCATCCAAAGATCCCAGAAATCCACTATTCCAGTTAAGATATCGCATGCTTGATGTAGAAGAGCTGGGTGTACGTAGACTTGAGTTTCTGTGGATTGCAGGGTTGTACCATTTTGTGCAGATAATAAAGGCAAAGCATTCCGCGACACTGAACGGCAAGAACGGTACATGTTTAGCAAGCAATTAGGCGCAAGTACCTATCACGCAGAATAAGTGGGAGTTTTTTTGTACCCGTAGTTAATGAATAAATCCCACCACCCAAGAGCAGCAACATCTCCTGCAATTCACAGCAAACAAACTTGATGTTGCAGCATAGACAAACTGATAAGAATATTGCTACAGATATATAAATAAAATGAGAAGCAGCAAATAGTGCAATTTTGGCCACACAAATTCAATGAGAGTCAAATACTTACCACATATCTTCAGAAGAGTAAATGTTGTTGCCGCTATGAAGAAGACCATAGATATTGCAACCCAAAAGTGCTGAGACATAGATAACAAGATGACTTTCAGAAACTACCAATCCACAGATATTAGCTCAAACTGCATGTTACACCAACCAATCACATTTTCAAACAACTTTCACATTAAAAGGATGAAACACAACATATATCAATAAAAGGCACATAACACCAGACTGCGTATAGCTGCAAAACGTATTTATAAAACGTGCGGTTAAAAGATATGATGAAGTATGATTATTCCTGATACGCATAACTCCTCAACAAAAACTATTTTTCAATCCTACTTTCACCAGTGAGGAGATAGCAATCAACCTCTTGAATATTATGGTAACAAAAGATCAAGAACTTAAGAGTTCACATCCTTTTAAGCTAAAAATATTCCTTTACGCTCTTTTGTTTACACATTTATGCAAGTGAACAAATAAGCTTTCTCAGCTAGTCAATCTAAAAGGTATCAGTGGCTATTAATATCAGATTTCTCCTAGTAGATAAGCTACAAGAACGACATGACTGCTAACTGTCGGTTTTTTTATAAAAAAGAATACGAGCTCTATACTTACGGGAAGGGTCTCCCATATAGCCTCATCACTCATGCTTTCTTCATCTCCGGGCATCAGAGCCCTGCACATTCTGAACATGAGAAGAAGTGCAAAAGAAATTAGATACACGTCCAAAACCAAGACCAATTTTTCCTGCTCTAAAAGTATGCGGAAAAAAGCATATTTTTGGAAATCTTATCTCATATCTCTTTATTCCAAAAATAACTCAAAACTGCCACCAGATGGTTTAAAGGTCAGCATTTTTTGGCAGAATAAGTATCTTACCTAACATTATCAACCAAGATAGCAATTTCAAGTGCTAGCAGGGGAAAGAACACAATCTTCAAACTTACAGCTGCAATTGACCACAGTTCACAAATAAGTGGCACTGGCCGCTGTGTATATGAACTAGCATTGCATATCAAATTTAAAGAGAGAAAGTTAAGCAGTAGTTGTTTATTGCCTTCTTGTTGATTAGAGAACTAGCATTGCATATCAAACACCATTATGAATCAACAAGAAGGCAATAAATGGTTAGCTGTAAATGCATCAGGTAATGATGTTCTAAGGAAATTTTCTTGTTTACCGTAGGTGCTGTCGAGATGAATAGAAAGGAGGAGTTCAAAAGCAACAAGCAGCGGTGTCGCCATGACAGCATGAAATGGTGCCCACTGTTTATGAAGGAATGTGTGCTTCTGTCACTATATAGCTTTTTGAAAATATACATTATATTGAATCTAAAATCAGAAAAGTTAACGTGCCATACATGTCGATCATGAGGCATTGATGGAGCAGGTAATGAGAATCTAACCCTTGCTACAACCACATGAAACAACCAAAGTGGAACAAAAATGACCCTGAAAAAGGAACCAGATGTGAGACCAACTGTAAATTATATTGTTTAAGGGAGCAAGGGTTTCAAAGTTCTCGATTATCTTGTAAAACAAAAGAAGAAAAGGAATACAAGGCAATACTTAGAAACTCATTTCGCTGTATACTGCAAACGGTACAATTATAAAAAAAAAGAGAGCTAAGATTAATGTAGCAAATTCTTTAGTAACTCTTAGAAACCTCTCTCTTTCTGTCAATACACACACATGTGCACACTCACACACGTGCCAAATTGCGCATGTCTGTGCGGGCGAGCACAATCAAAATTCAGAAGCAAGAAAAATACAGAAATGAAAGAAAGACAACCTACTATCACTGAATTCAACAAATTGAGATACCCAACTTTGCATGAATTTTTCGGTATCTTCAATCAAAGAAAACAGAAACTCTAACAGTTATGGGAATTTTGAGGTTGAATTTCACCTTTTTTGGGTTCAAGATGCTTTTGAATGATTAACCATATAGCCATAGGTTGTGGGCGCATTTGCATTGCTTCTTATTCACTAGACATCAAAAACGGGCATAAAAGAGTAAAAATTGGAAGATTGATACACCCTATCATTCAACTGATAAACTATGCCTCAATTCCAGATTATCTAGGTTTAGCTAGATGAATCCTATGAATCTATATTTAGCTCTACTCAGGTCCAATTTATCTGAATGATTTGTCCTTTAGGAGAATTAAAGTTTAGAGGTTTCCTAAAACTGACTTCTCATAAAAAGCATACAAGTCTCTAATGAGCCAAAAAAATTCTGAACAAATACCGAGCCCAATGTAAGTGTGACAACAACAACTAAGCCATTAAGCCGTAATCCCAACAGGCTGCCATCACCTCTATGAATCTTTTGATCTCATTGTTTTCTATTCTTGCAAAACTAACATTAATTTTGAGAGATTTTAAGTCTTCTGAAAAGCTTTCCCTCCATAAAATTCTAGATCTACTTCGTTTTCTTATCATCTTTAATCCTTATAATTATCACATGTCTAATGCAAGCCATGATCAAAATCATCTTAGTCGATTTTTTCTCATTTATCCTCTGTGTGTGTACTACTCGTACTTTTTACTGGATGTGATTACTCTTTTAATTTGATTGTACGTTGATATTAACATCCGTATTTCTATTACCTTTACCTTGAGGATATGTTGAACTTAGAGGCCCAACCTGCAGTTCTATATAACATTGCAAATCTCGCAATAGCGAACTGAAACTAATCTCTAGAGGCACCTATCGGAAAAGATACTTTGAATGCTTCAAGATCAGGTCTCAGTTCCAACGAAGACCTTGGCAAATCCGCGTAGCCTTAAGTTTGTTAGGTATTTTCCTATAGGGTAATATCCTACATTTCAACTATCCAATTGTAATTTTGTGTCTAACACTTTCATTTATCATGCCATTTTCCTGGAAGATTGAGCTAAATATCTGAATTGTTTGCATGTACCCACTACAATCCTATCTAATCTCCCTTACCTTTATTCTTTTCCTAAAGGTTAAACATGCGATGCATATATTCTACCTCGTTTGTACTTATTTGAAAACTTACTTCACAATTTCAAATTTTGGTTGACTTTTTCGGTTAATAAACACAATATCATCTCTAAATAGCATAAACTGTAGAACCTTTACCTATATACTATTGGTTAACTCATTTACAACTAGACTAAGCAACTACAAATTCACTCATGCTGCTATCACATCGTCTAACAAACCAGGTTACTCAGAAGTGCCCAAAATCCTGAATCAATTTTATAAGAAATATCTAATTGTAAATACACTCCTCTTTCTATACGCATAATTAACAATATAACAGTAAGCACATCATCCAAAATCTTAAAGTTTCTACCTTTCTTCAAGCTCAACAATGATCCAAAATACAACAACAACAAACCAGTATAATCCCACGAGTGGGGTCTAGTATAATCCCACGAGTGGGGTCTGGGGAGGGTAGTGTGTACACATACTTACCCCTACCTTGAGGGTAGAGAGGCTGTTTCCGATAGACAATGATCCAAAATGCATTCCCATTTTAAATTCCAACAATGGAAAATCATGCTTTTATGTTAATAAACACTTATTAAAAACTAGCACAACATAGATTCAAAGTACTCAACAAGAATGCTACTCTTAGCAAATATGTCATTTGGATAAAATTCAGATAAAAGACCTTCACTTTATCCACAAAAATCCTTATTATCAGCAAAACCTTTTTCCATTCCCTCAAGATAAAATATTTTCTATAAATTGGTCACGAAATATGAAATTACCAAAATCATTAACCAAAAAGCTACCAAATTCCCTGAATTTCAACAATTTCAATAACTTAGAAAATTCCCAAAAAGATGAATAATACAGAAAATAAATACTAGCAAAAGTAAAGACATACCACCAAGGATAATGAAGGGCTTGATCAAGCTTGAGAACAAGAAGCAAAGTGAAACAAAACAGCAATCCATGAGCTGCTACTGATTGAATAGATTTTAATACTCTCCTAGTTCCACTCATCACTTCCCCAAAAAATAAAGAAAACCCAATTTCACTCTTTTTTTCACAAATAAAAAGAACCCCCCACGTTCTAGATGTCAAAGAGTAATAACAGTAAATAAAGGGAAAGAAAACAGAATTTCAAGAAAAGACATGCGAAAAAAAACAGATTTCACTCCTTTTTGGAGTTTGAATATAAGAAAAGAATAGAACAGGAACAAGACAGGACAGAGCAACGTTAATTGCGAGAGAAACTTTATTACACAGACTTGGCTTTCACGCCAAAACGCCGTTCTTTGTTGTCTTATTGCCCCCACACCGACGATAGGTAGCCAATTCCGAGAATTCAAAATAATTAGTGTATAATTTAAAATACTGGCTAAAAAATAAATAATAAAATTTAATCGGTTATTTATGTAAAGATCCCACATGTATTAGATGTCTCGAGGATGGTCTAGTAGACTAATAGTGGAAGAGTTATTTTTTACGAAAAAAGTATATTAAAGTTGATAATATTATTTGCAAATTAAAACGTATCTTATGAATAATATTGAAATCTAAAGTTGTAATGTCTAACTTATAATTGGAACTAGTAAAATGAAATAAGTTAAGAGAGTTATAAGAAATGACTTTCTATTATAAGTAAGGAAGTTATTTCACCTATTTTAATAGAAAACGTTTTACCCTTTTGATAACTAAACACAAAAATTACTCTATTATGAGATTTTCTTTTTTGAAAAATAACATCCGTCATATTATATATGTCCGTAAATTATTTTCCTTTACTTTAACGCGGGGATATAGTCATTCGAGCCATTGTTGCTTGAAAGTAGAGCCGTCAATATGGGCTTGGCCCGTTGGGCCAGCCCAGTCCAACCCGTGATTTAGCAGGACTGGGCTAGAATTTTTGAAGCCCGTTTAAAAACAAGGCTTTTAAGCCCGGCCTGAGTAAGCCCGTGGCCCGTGAGGCTTGATTGAGGCTGGGTCAGCCCGGCCCGTGGGCCTAATAAAATATTTATTTAAAATATATAAAAATAAAAAGTATACTGCCTTTAGAGATGGAAAGTCAAAATTGGATTTTTATTAAGAGGAACCAAAACTTGATCTTGATAAGTTTCAAGAGATGATGTTGTCATGTATTGGAATGATCATTCTAGAAAATATCCCGATCTTTCAATGATGATGTGTGATGTACTTAGCATTATTATTACCATTGTACCATCAGAATCAACATTTAGATTGGTGGCGTGTTCTTACAAAGTACAGAAGTTGCATTTATTATGAAAATGTCCAAACACTTGTTACTACTCGAAGTTGGCTGCACAGGTTTTTCCAAACTCAAACTGGTAATATTTTTTTATGTGAATTTAAATATTATTAATTTTTAAAATTTAATTATTTTTAATATTTAACTAATTAATATTGCATATGAATTGTAGATGAAAGTGAGGATGTTAAGACAACCTTGTCACAAGCAGATTCAAATGTGTTTGATGAAGATGATGTGTTGAATATCTCATAAGCATCATGAACGTTCTCTTGAATAGTTTGTTTTAAGTTTTGACTTTTAGTGAATGAAATATAGTCATGTCTTTTACTTTTATTGGTATTTATTGTGATATATTGGAACAATATAAAAAGTTATTAAGTTTTGCGAATATTTTCCAATAAGATATTTTTTAACTTTTAAATAATTATCTTTTTTAGGTCAGAACTTAAAGAAAAAATATAAAATTATATTTTTAAAAATGGTGGGCCAATCGTGGGGGCCCGTGGCCCACATAGGGCTAGGGTGGGTTGACCATTATAAGGCCCATCAAAATGGTGGGCTAGCCTAGCCCAGCCCGTCAATTACTAAAGCTCACGTGAGCCGGACTGGGCTAGCCCGACCCGACCCATATTGACAACTCTGCTTGAAAGTAGTAGCAATTTGATGAATTAGTCTAAAGACATTTTTATGTTGCTCACTCTTAAAAAGAAAAAAAATAAGAAAAATATAAATTAATTTTATGAAATTTACACATGTTCTTTTACTCCTATGACCTTTTCAATAAGAGATCGGTAAAATATAATGTCAGTAAATAAGCTATCTGTTAGATAAATCTGGGCCTAACTAACACTCTAAAAGCTAGCTTGAAAGGAGTAGGATTGCCCACACTGTATAAGGGGACCAGGGATATCATCCCAGTTCGATGTGGGATTCATTCCATTCATCACTCCCTCTCACGCCCAAATCTAAACATTCTTTATCCGGGTTCCACTGTATGGTCTGAAGTGTGCATAATCATGGACCGTGGGTATTTTCACCTACCCCCTCCAACTGGTCCGGATGCATTCCGCTCCCCCTCTTTTGGGGACCCACATCGATCACGAGTTTGATTTTGATATCATGTTAAATAAGTGGAGGTTAGCATCTGGAGTCCTGTGTGACAAGAGAGTGTCACCGATACTCAAATGGTAAGTTCTACAAAGCGGTGGTTAGATTGACAATGATGTATGAGACTGAGTGTTGACCTGTTAAGAACTCACATATCTAGAAGATAAAAGTAACAAAAATGAGGATGTTGAGGTAGATGTGCGGGCTATGATGGATAAGATTAGGAACGATGATATTTGGGAGAAGGTGCACATGGCTCCCATTGATGACAAAATGCGGGAAGTGAGGCTCAGATGGTTCTGGCATGTTTAGAGGAGAAACTCAGATGCTCAGGTAAGGAAGTGTGAGCTGCTGGTTGTGGAGGGCACGAGAAGAGGTAGAGGGTGGCCTAGGAAGTATTGGGAAGAGGTGATCAGACACGTTATAACGAGACTTCAGATTTCCGAGGACATGACACTTGATAGGAAGATGTGGAGATCGAGTATTAGGGTTGTAGGTTAGGAGGTAGTCGAGTCTTGCCTTACTTCATACCTTTGTGAGCCTAGTCTGGTAGGGTTTTTATCTAAGATAGCTAGTGACAATGTTATGTCTTACTATTTCGGTTTTCCGTGCAGAACCTATTTTACTAGCTATCGCTTTTGCTTTGCATCTTTCTTCTGGATTTCATGTTCCTATTTTTCCTATGATTTCTGTGGTGATACTAATATTGTCTCCTTTTGTCTTTTTGTTTTCTTGAGCCGAAGGTCTTTCAGAAATAGTCTCTCTACTCCTTTGAGGTAGGGGTTGTCACACCTCCTTTTTCCGCCCCCGCGAAGGGTGAAGGAGTTTTTTCCAATTAAAGGACAATCGAAACGGGATTTGTTTATTTATTTCAGAGTCACCACTTGGGAGATTTAGGGTGTCCCAAGTCACCAATTTAATC